AAAAAAAACACAGCAAAAAACACACACACACACACACACACACACACACACACACACACACACACATGAGTGTGTGTGGCACTGGAGAGATCTGAAAAAAGTGGAGAGATTACATCAATATGGATTTCCCAGTTGTGATACTCTATAAATGCACAAGATATTATTACTTGAGGGCATAGGGAGTCTCTGCAGGATTTATCACAACTGTGTGCACACTTACAATAATATATTGCATATGGAATATATAGATTCTGATTTGGGAAGATTGAGAGTTATATATATGTGTATATATAATATTATATATAGTTATTTATAATATGTATTTTAGAGGATCGTAAAAGTGGCCCTGACCTGGTGCCTAGACACAGATTTCTCCATGCCTGGGAGGTGTTACAAACTACTTTGCTGGAGTTCAAACGAGATGACTTGCTAGGATCTGAGTTTATTCTCTCTCTGGAGAAATGCACAGATATGTACACACAAGTACAACTGTACATAGATATGCTTATAAATGCTCAGCACTGGATCTTGAATCCTGTAGAAGCTTGCAAAGTGTGATCAACTCACCCTTTAAACACCAGCCTCCTTTTCCCTCCTAATACCTAGGGGCAGGTAAGGTGGAAATGGGTGGAAAGGTAGAGGGAGGAGTTCTCTTCTTGAAACACATATCTTCCAGAAAACGAAACAATAGCCTTGAGAAAAGAATCAAAGGCCTCAAATCCTGTATCACCTCCTGAGGTTCCCCTGAGGCTGAAGCTACAGGATGCAATGGGTAAAGGCAGGACCTGGGAGCCAGGTGTGGTTGCACATGCTTATAATCCCAGCCCAGGGAAGTGTGAGGCAGGAGGATCACCATGAGTTTAAAGCCAACCTGGGATACATAGTGAGAACCTGCCTCAAACAAAAACAAAGAAAAGCAGGACCTGGGTTTAACTGTCAACCTTCTGTTTATAATCTGTTTGATGAAGGTGTTTTCTAAAGTGTTAAGAATAAACCCTCAGAGGTGTTTTAATTAGAAAATGGCTTATCAAAAAATAGAATTGGTAGCCAATTTAAATACATAGATTGCTTTTAAAATCTGGATCCAATTTTGCTTTAAGAATCCCACATTCCCCTTCCTATACAGAAAGCGTTACTGACATTGTTCAGCTGGGCATGCTTGGGCATTGATGATGATAAAGAGCAGGAGGAGGAGGAAGATGAAGATGATGATGTTATTTTGTGGTTCTGGGGATTGAATCCAAGGCTTTCACCCTCAGCTACATATGCAGTCTTTTTTTTTCTGTTTTTTTTTTTTTAAATGTTGAGACATGGCCTTGCTAAGTTTTTAAATTGCCCAGGCTGGGTTTGATGTTGTAATCCTCCTGCCTCAGCCTCCCAAGTAGCTGGGATTATAGGTTTTTGCCACCATGCTGGTCTATGTGACTTTTGAATGCAGGATTTCTGCTACATGACACCAGAGTCCTCTGTCTCCTCCAGGGAGCCCCGTGTTATCGGTCAGTGCCAGCTTTGGGATTCCCAGGTGTGCTCACCTGTTGCAGCATTGATGGTTGCTGGATCGCTCTCCTTGTCCTCCTTCACAGCAGAGACTCCAATCCCATACTCAGTTCCTGGCCTCAGACCTAGGAGAGGACACACAGGTTGAGATTCGGCATGGTCCTGGGTGAACTTTCAAAGGCATGGAAAAATGGCTCCAACTTGGCCCCAGGACACTATGATTTCTGATTTTCTGGGACCTCAACCATGGAGGCTCCAGTGGATGAGAACTGCTAGGAGCTGGGCTTATTCTTCCTTTGGACATTTGTGAAGATGGGCGATATAGGAACAGGTGTCTGTCGTTTGAGGGTCCTCTGGGGCTACTGGACTGTGGACAAACTCACCTGTGAGTGTGGTTTTGGTTGTGGCTTGTTGGCTCTTTGGAACATCGACCTCGGCGTGGTCACCTCCAGAGATGGGTGCATACTTGATTCTGTAACTGTCAATGTCTGCCTTGACATTTCTCCATTCCAAGGTGATGCTGCTGTCTGTCTGGGAGACCCGCTGGAGACTCCTAGGCGCATCCAGGCCTGTTGGGGAGAAGAAGGAACTTGGTACTGAAAACACCAGGCACTTGGAGGGTAAGGTCTTTGACAGATCAAGCTGAGATGCAAAAGGAACTGGTTTTTGGAAAGAAATGACCAACTCCCCGGCCCCAGCACATAATCATCCTGGTGTCACCATGGCTGAAACATAAATCTAAGCAAAACCTGCAGGTTTGACATCTTTTCCTGTTACTGGTGCATGTGACATTTTAATCTTTTGTGTTTGTCTCAGTTTTTGTGCTTAAAAAAAAAAAAACAGAATTGAGAAAGATCATCAACCATGTTGGAACTGGTCTGCTGAGTTTCATCATTGTATTTCTAGTAATGTATACAGTGCTTACTGAACCCTGAAAAAATATTTATTGAATAGACAACTGACACGTTAGTACTTTAAAAATAATGCTGCAGGCTCAGAAGTTAGGGGTTTCTTTGTCATTCATGTTTCCTGTATGCTGTGTTTTATTTTAAATATACTTATGTGAACTCTACGGATTTTATTTTAACCAGAACTTTTCTCTGAAAATATCAAACCAACGTATTCCATGTAAACAACAACAACAAAAGTGCTTTGGAGGATTATTTGGATTTGTTTTCTTAAAAACACTAATTGCTATAGTATTTTAAAAAAGGGTAAAGGAACAGAACTCCCTTCTCCACTTTTCTTACTACAAATGAGACTGGAAGACCCTGCAACATGAAATGGGATAGAAATCTTGCCCTGCCATCTAGGATGGTGGCACATGCCTATAATCCCAGTACTCTGGGAGGCTGAGGCAGGAGGGTCAGAGGGTTGAGCCCAGCCTGGCTAACTTATCAATTCAAGTGAGTCCTTGCTTCAGAAACAACAACAACAACAGAAAGGCTGGGAATATGACTCAGTACAGAAATGCTTAGTTCAATATTCTCTACTGAGGAGAAGGGAAAGAACCCCTCCTCCCCTTTTGGTACCATTGTTGAGGGGAAGCTGTTACCTGTTGTGAAGGTCTCTTTGGCTGGGTTGCTGGACATGTCACCCCTGCGAGAGGTGAGGGACACCTCGTACTGGGTGTCGGGCTTCAGGTTCCCGATGGAGTACTGGTTCTCATCATGGGTGAGGTCGATGGTGGTGCGGTCACCTGGCACATCTTTGGCACCATAGGAAAGCTCCATGCCGTCAATCTCAGCCAGGGGTTTGAACCAGGTGACGAGTGCTGTGGTGTCTGTGACATCTTTCACCTCGATCTGACTGGGGGCATCCAAGCCTGTCACAGGCAGAAGAACAGAGCAGCTTCAGGGATCAAGGTCAGTGCTGGGTCTGAGCAGAGAGGGGGGCTTTGCTACCATCCAGACCCATGCATGAATATTTAGATCCCTACCGATCACCTGTCTTTATTTTACCTTTGAAAGCCTCTGTTTCCTGTTTGCTAAGCTGTGAGGATTATGATATCTAGCTCTAGGTGCTTTTTTCTTTTCAAGTAGTGAAGGAGGTAAAACTTGCAAAGCATCTAGCTTAGAGCCTGGCACACAGAAGTTACATGATAAATAGTTCTTCCTTTGTAGATATTATCATTATTTTTTTATCATTGTTGTTCTCATAAGCTGAGGAAAGATGCATGGAGGATACCTCTGTTGAAAACAATGATTTAGTTTCTCTGATTTTTTAAAAATTATGCAAAACTTTCCTAGATGCCAAGTAACTTTCACATTAGAATTAGGGAGCAGGAATGTGATGGAGTGGACTGTGTGCATGGTGTATGGAAAGTTGTTTTTGATGAAAATTCAGGCAAAAAAATCATAACTATATTGTACCTTGACTAGCCTTGTATGCTCGTCCTTGATTTTTCTGGTGTCCAGTTAAGCTTGCTGCCTGCCCCACCCACTCCAATATTTCCTGGTCTGAGAATAGTGCTGCTCAGACCTCTGGGAGCTCACCACTGCTGTTTGCTTCCACCTGGTTTCTGTGTAAGCTTCTTCTCCATAAGGTCACCCTCCCCCTTCCCAGAACCTCCTATCCACCTTTCAAAATCTCACATACGACATCCTAGCCAGAAGCCTCCTTTATCCCTGCTGCAACCAGGCAAACACTACCTCCCTAAATGAGCTGTGTAAGAGTATACTTTTCTTATTCTCCTGTAGCAGATTTACCTGCACTTTGGATCAATTTATGTGGGCTCATTCATGCAACCAGATAAAGAGTTTTTGGCCTTTCTTGATCCCCAGCATGGAGACAGATATGTATTAGGTATACAGTGAATATTTCTTCCTTTTTAAAAAAAGTAGTGACATCTGCACTTTTCAGCATTAGTTGCATAAATAGTTTCAAATAGGAGGCACTGGGCTTTGCGCAGGGTGTGAGAAGGGGGGACGATTTACAGGCAATTGCAAAGATTCTGTCAAGTCTACTTTTGAGGTCTAGGTTTTGATCAGTCAGTTTCAGCTGGAAGAAGATAATGAACCCATAAAAGGCACAGTGAAACAGATGCTACAAATTGTCAGTGATGGTCCCTGTCCCCTGTCCATCCTTATAGCTGCTAGCTTGCACCCTAACTGTGGCTCCCCTTCCTTAGCATCCTTTTAGGAGGGAAGGTAGGGTTCCATCAAGACACTGGCACAGCCTGGATTCACTTCTCTGAATAGTGGAGCATGGTCACTTCTCACCGGTCACGTTCCAAGCACGATGCTGTGTCATTTGTGATTCTGTTCCCGCATCATTCTCACAAGGAGGAGGCTGCAAATATAGTTTGCAAATGTTGGATCTGAGGCTGAAAGAAGCAGCCTTTTCCAAAGTGACAGGGAAGATGAAATAAGCTCACAACTGACTGGACCCAAAGCCCATGCTCTGTTTTATATGGCAACACCCTCAAAATATTCAGTCAAAATAGGTATAATACACCTTTCAGCTAGCTGCCAGAGAGAAGCGAACTCCTTTCTCATTTAAAGCTTCCAGTCCTTGAAACCAGCAAAAGCTTCAGATATGCCAGCAAAATGTGTTATCTATCCTTTGATGCTGATATTTGCATGATTATGGGCCATCAAATGTGGGGGGCGTTTGTATTCAGTAAAAAGAAAACAAGGTAGCCAATCTTAAAATTGAAATTAAAAAGAAAAGGATGGGTGAAAGAAATGTCTTTTGTGTTTCCAGTGTGCTTTCTCTACAGCGAATAAGCATTTGCTTAATCTTTTCTGCGCCCTCCTGGTGATCTAATGATTTTTCTCCTGTTGCTACCTGCCTTCTCTGTACCACAGACATATGTGGTCAGGATGATGGAAAATACTTGCTTCTGAAGGAGACGCCTATGAATTAGCCCCGAGCTAGGCAAAATGTGCAAATGCGTAAATGCAAGGTGTTCTTTTCCTGTCATTAGTCAACAGCTTTAACTTTTCCAACAACCCTTTGCCAAGAAGAGTCCATTTCTTCAAGAGTTGACACATTAGGTTATCTTGGAAAGTAAAGAGGCTTTCCCAAATGGCAATTCAAAGCTATTTTCTTGCATCTTTTTTTTTGTTGTTGTTGTTCTTTTCCATTCTCAGAAGCTTTGATGACATTAGTATTGAGTGAAATTTTATTTAGGTTTTGTGGTTGAAGACATGTAATTAATATTCTGCAAAAATCAGAGCCTATTCAATGCTAGAGGTAAGAGGGTTAAAGTTCTGAAAAGAGTCTTTGCTGAAAGCTGTGGCACTAACTGTATGGCCTACATAGTACTAGTTAAAGTGATTCAGCTTCTCTAGGCCTTAGTTTACACTCTTAAAATATAGCAATATGAGTTAAAGATATATCATGTTACAGTAACACATGTACACCCATGTTTAGAGCAGCACAACTCATAATAGTCAAATCTTGGAAGTGGCCTGTATGCCCATCAATAGATGGATAAATAGAGTGTGTTATTTATGCACAATGGAGCACTACTTTGTCACACAGAAAGGTAAACTTGAGTCATTTGTGGGAAAATGTATGCACCTTGAGTAGTTAAGTGAAATAAATCCAACACATAAGGTTAAATATCACAGCTTGTCTTATATGAGAGACTCAAAATGTAAAGAAGGTCTGTCTCCTTTTTTACATATTATCTGTCTTTTATTTTACTCTTTATTAAAGAGGAGATGTATCTTTTTCAAAAAGGGAGGGGACCAAGGAGGGGGGAGGATGAAAAAAGAATTAAGATGTGTTCTGTACATGTACTAATGCCCTGAGGAATGTAATCATTATATAGTGCATAACAAAAACATGTAGACACCAAAGACAAAAAAAACCCACAAAACAAACAAACAAACATAAACATGAATGTTTGCCTTGTCTCTGTCATGAGGATTGGTGTTGGATTTAAAATGGATGATGTGGGGGATAGTTTGCAATGACCTCAGTTGCTTCTCTCCTTGCAGCTGTGCCCTTTGGAAAGTGACTCTGAAGTTCCTCTCATCTAGATCTGGATCTGTTTCCTATCTTTAACCTGGACTGGCTTCGGGATTTGCTCTGACAGGAGTGACACAGGGCCATCCTGAGCCTACCCATAGCCACATGGACACACCCAGGATAGCCTCGTGAGGACAGGAGACCATGTGAAGCACAGTGTCACCATCTTGGCTGAGGTCTTCCTAGGCTCATGAACCCCCAGACCACACAGATGCATAAGCGAGTTAAGGACAGGCTGATTACTCAGCTGAGCTCAACCCCGAATCATGAATAGGCAGAACATCTTAAGCCATAAAATTTGGGCTTTTGGTTAATCAGCAAAACTGAGTCTTGATATGATGAGAGGGCACTTTATCACCCAAAGGGTGCCATGAAGCCTTGGCAGCTCTTTCATGGGTCCTGGAGGATACTCACGGGTGGTGGTCACCCTTTTCAGGCCAGGGCCCCTGGTGTTGTTTTTCACGATGTGCAGGGATATCTCATACTCCTGCCCAGGGGCCAGGCCCGTTTGCTGGTAAGAGGTCTCTGGCCTCCTCAGGCTTTTGGTAATTTCTCCCTCATCTTCTTTATTCTGAAAGACAGGAACACCTTGGTGAGACTCAGAGGAGGGGCTGGTCTCTTCATTTATGAGATTCATTCGTTCTGCATTCATTTCTCTCTCACTTTTATGTTTTCTTCTCTCAATTAGGCAGCTCTGTGTGTCAGAGCTGTTGTTAGATGATGACGACACAAAGATGATGGGCATTTCCCAAGTTCATCTCTCTCTTTTGTAGTCTTTCTGCTGACCCCTCACAGGAAAGTCAAATGACAGACCGTGAGGCCAAAGGAATTCTGAAACCACAAACTCAACCCTTCCTTTGACAATGTAAGAGACTAGCATTGGAGAAGTTGTGTGATTGTCCTCTGGCCACACAAATAGTTGGTGTCAAAGCCTGGGCTTAAATTCAGAAATAAAATAAGGGTAGGGACTTAGCTCAGTGGTTCCACCCCTTGCCTTGCAAGCATAAGGACCTGGGTTCAATTCCCAGTACAAAAAACAAAAATCAGAAATAAAGTTCCAGCCTCACCTACGCTGTTGGGCATAGGATGAAGGGCTGCCCAAATCTGAGACAGACTGGGAGGCATTTTGAGGGAGAGAATGGTTCTTCTTTTCTTCACCTCTAAGTAGAGATTTGCAAAACAAAACCTAGAAATAATCTCTAATTGTCTAGCCTCTCAGCCTGAAATGCTATATTTTTTTGACTTATTAAAATCAGGGGGAGATGGACATCACTTAAAATATATGCGCAAACCTAGAAAGTGCTAGTTGAAGCCTTATATTTCCCCCAAAGGTAGGGGAAATGTCTGCAGAGTCCTTTGGCCATCCTCCATATCCTTGAGGTTAACTATGCCTGCTTCCTCACATGCCTTACTTACCATATTCCGGAAGATGATCTCCCATGTTTCAAAAGCAATGTCTAAAGGATCCCACTCCACTTCCACAGATGTTTCCTTGATGGACTTGAATTTTAGGCCTTCAGGTGCAGGCAGGTCTGTAAGGAAGAGCACAAGTAGGAAGACATAAGGACAGGAAAAAATGCACAGGGGCCACACAGTCATGAATCCACTTAGCCCATCATGGATGCCCATCATTGTCAGATTGATAACCAAAGACGATTCTTTAAAGGTTCTTCTGGAGTATTGTCTATTATGGGACAGGATGAAAGTTAATATTAGGACTAGTTATATGATTGCATATTTGCTAGTTCATGTAATTATTGAAACACAGTCTTTAGAATCAGACAGATTTGGGCCAGACTCTAAGCTCCATTATTAGCAACATTTGACCTTGGGCAAGTTGCACAAAATGCCTTGAGTTGCCTCTGCCCAAGAGAAGGAGGTAACTACGACTGCCCTTAGGAATATAGTGAGAACTGAGTGATAAAATCCATATAGGCTGCTGGGCCTGCTTCCTGGAATGCAATACAAGCTCAGTAAGTGGCAGCCTATATTAATATTAGTAAGTAAGAAAGGGCAATTTCTAGCCACAGCTTGCTCTTCAAGTATGAAGGCAATTCTGTTGATGCTAGATATTTAAAGGAACAACTTACAGGAAACATGGGGGAGAGTGAGGAGGAAGACCTGGTTAAAAATGAGTTCCTTTAAGAAAATACTCAATAGCACTGGGGGTTTGGCTCAGTGGTTCTGCTGCCTGCCTCACAAGTGCAAGGGCCTGAGTTCTGTACCTGGTACCAAAAAAAAAAAAACACCAAAAACCAAAAAACAAAACAAAACAAAACAAAAAAAACTCAATAGGCTCCACGGAGATCTAAGCTCTCACTGTGTATAACCATGAAAGGACAACTGCTGGGCTGAAGGGGGAGGGACGGGGCTGCTTGGGCGAGGGCCTGGCATGGGGTGGGCTCAGCCTGGAGAGCAGGCACAGGGAGCTCAGCTCACTCACAGGTGGCAACCCTGGCACTGACAGGGATGCTCCTCTTGTTCTCCAGGATGGCAAATACACGGATAAAGTACTCCACACCAGGCTCCAGCTCCCGGATGATGGTGGATGTCTGGTCCCCAGGCACCCGGAACTGCATCTCCAGGCCATTGGCATGGGTGGGTGTGTACACGATGAGGTACTCTGTGACTCGCATCTCATTGTTCCATGCCAGGTTTACGGTCTCCTCTGTCACTTCTGTCACGATGAGGTCTTTGGGAGGGGACACTGGCAGAAATAAGAAAGGACTGGGGTCAGTAACATGCCATGTACAATCTCCCCAGGTTTGCTTCTCTGTGTTTTTGTCTCTTCCATGGTCATCCACAGAGGTCTGAAGCTCGCCCCTTGAAATCCAGTTTCTATTGTCTCTATAACACAAATCTCAGCCCTAAAATCCTTTAGTCTCTTATATTGGGCTGAAGTTCCTGGGCAGTAGTGTGGACTTCAGGGCACTTTATAACCTGAGGCTTCCTATTTCTCTACTCCCTGGTCCTGGTTCAGAGTCAGCATGGGAAGGTGAGATCTGAGTCTGCCCAAGTTTGCTCACTTCAGCAAGTCTGGGACTCCCGTGCCCTCTCTGCTAGTCTGGTGTTCTTTTTAATCCGGTGGCCTTGTTTTGGTCATGTTAGACAATGAGCTCTGGCTGCCGATGGCAGAGATTCTCATGATGACAATTACAATATGGATGAATGAGAGAGATACAAAGAAGACTCCCATTAAACATGAGCCTTGTCCTTTTTTGTAGTATTTTCATCCATCCAGTGTTTTCCTGAGCATTTATTCTACCCATGCCCTGTGCTAACTGCTGGTTACAGTGCTCCTTTAGGGAGTCATGGCCCTGGGGATGAAGACCAATAGCAAAAAGACAATTTAAGAGACAAGTCTACTTTATAGGTGACCAGCAATTAGTCTTTAGCCATGTGTACATTTAAACCACTTGTTTTATGTAATTGCAATGCAAGTTCAATTTGGCTGAGTTATGGCTTCCATCCAAATAAGGGGGCTTTGACTGCTCGTGGTTCCAGGGCAGTGGAAAGTAGGAAAAGAGGTCTATTTTTAGCAAAAGTGGCACCATCCCTTCATTAGTTCACCTCCAGCCCTGGATGTTAAACTTAGCACAAATGAGTGAGACAGGCTAAAATACCAGAGGTATTAGCTGTCTGTGCTTTGGACAATTATAGAGCCTCTGTGAGCCTTTGAGTCCATGGCCAGGTAGCTCCGCACCAAGTGAATGACCTCAGCTCCTTCGGAGTCAGTTCCTGCATGCGTGTGTTTAATACAAACATGTTAACATACAAAGCGAGTCTCTGTGTTGATAAGCACTCAGCCCTCCGGCCTGGACCAGGCACCACTCCCCCACGTCTGTCACCACACCCATTTTCATGCCAGTGCTCACCCTCTGAACAGTCGTCCCCGGTGTAGCCCTCATTGCAGATGCAGCGGCCCGAGATGCACTGTCCTAGGTTGCTGCAGTCACTGGGACAGGAGCGCTGCCCACAGTCCACGCCCGTGAAGCCCTCGTGGCACACACACTGGCCATCCACGCAGCGGCCCTGGCCGTGGCAATCACGAGGACACCTTCGCTCTTCACAGTCTTTGCCCACGAAGCCCTCGTGGCACACACACTGCCCGTTCACACAGCGGCCCTGGCCGTGGCAGTTGTTGGGACAAGAGAGCTCGGCACAGTCGGGGCCCGTGAAGCCGTCTTCACACATGCACTGGCCATGCACACAGCGGCCCCGGTGGCTGCAGTCTCGGGGGCAGCGGCGGTCCCGGCAGTCTTCCCCTGTGTAGTCATCATCACAGACACACATGCCATTCACACAGCGGCCGTGCTGGTGACAGTCGTTGGGGCAGCTCATGTCACTGCAGTCGTAGCCCTTGAAGCCTGGCTCACACACACACCTGCCCTCTATGCAGAGGCCCCGGCCGTGACAGTCACTGGGGCAACGTTGCCGGCTGCAGTCCTCCCCTGTGTAGCCTTCGTCGCACACACACTGGCCGTTGACACAGCGGCCGTGGCCATGACATCCACTGGGGCACTTGAGCTCGCCACAGCCAGCTCCCGTGAATCCGTCGTCACACTCGCACTGCCCGCTAACGCAGCGTCCTCGGTTGTGACAGTCGGCAGGACATCTCTTCTCGCCGCAGTCGGCACCTGCAAAGCCTTCATCACACACGCACTGGCCTTCCTCACACTGGCCCCGGCCGTGGCAGTTGTTGGGGCAGGTGAGTGTGCCACAGTCCTCACCCGTGAAGCCCTCTTCACAGTAGCAGGTGCCATTGAGGCAGCGGCCGCGGTCAAAGCAGTCATTGGGGCAGACGAGCTCACCGCAGTCCTCCCCTGTGAAGCCCTCATCACACACACACTCGTTCTCCACGCAGCGCCCACGGTTGTAGCAGTTGTTGAGACACAGGGGCTCGTTGCAGTCCTCGCCTGCAAAGCCTTCCCGGCACATGCATCGGCCGTCCACACACCTGCCGTGCTCCTCGCTGCAGGGCACGGGACAGACTTCCTGGCTGCAGTCAGCCCCCGCGTAGCCTTCAAAGCAGACGCAGACCCCGTGTACACATCTGCCCTGGTCATTGCAGTCACTGGGACAGGCCAACTGGCTGCAGTCCTCCCCGGTGAAGCCCTCATCACAGATGCACTGTCCCTCGAGGCACTGACCACGCAGGTTACAGTTGCCTGGGCACTCAGGCTCAGAGCAGTTGGGGCCTTTCCAGCCCGGCTCACAAATACAGCCACACCCTTCAGTGCTGAAGTTGCCTCGGCCACTGCAGAAGGGTCTGGTGTCCAGGCGGCCTGCAAAACCATAAACAACAGAGACGCTTGTCAGGGCTCCACCTGTGGCAAGATGTACCTGAAAAACCCAGATTCCTACTCAATCCAGCTGTAGAGTCAGAGGAGGGTTGTACTCTTAGCCTCCACTGGCCTCGAAAATCAGTGTGTGGAATCATATTGGGCTCCCTTCCAATTGTGCAAGAATTTAAACCTGTGCTCCCCCAAATTGTGGACTTGTACATAAAGATAATGTATGCTGTGTGTGTGTGTGTGTGTGTGTGTGTGTGTGTGTGCGCGCGCGCGCGCGCGTGTGTATCAAAACCCCTGGGGAAAGAATCCATAGTTTTCATCGCATTTCTAAGTCTCCTGTGATTATGAGTCACTGCCTTGTGGAATTCATTATTTGGGGCTATGTTACTACTTCTTTGGTTCCTAGTCAAGGTCAGGCAAATAAGATACCCCAAACAGTTGTTCAACTGAGCCCAGCTCTGTTTGACTTTAGTTGTGCCAGGCGTGGGCGTGGGTTGAGCCTCTGGAGCTTGGTTTCCTTCCAGATCAAGTGGAACTGGTAGCCTACTTCCTGGGGGTACATCGGGCTACATGAGAACTGGAAGCACTTATTCCCATGAGTCTCTGTTTTCTTTTCCAAAGCTTTTCTGGGATTGACTCAGTGAGTGCCTACATCATGGAAGCCTCCTAATTTCCCATAAATGGAATAAAGCAGCTAAAAAGTCATTTTTGAATTTTGTTAGGACATCTCCCAACTTGACCCTGTCCTAGAAAACTCATGTACCTCTGTCCTTTGCCCTTCCCTTTCCAAAAGGCTGTGGTTTTGGTCAAATGCAGGTCAGAGCTTTTGACTCTCCAGCTTTTTGACTCCTAAATATTGCCTCGGCTCAACTTGTAGAAGTTATTGCCATAGACTTTGTGGAAGCTCAAGGAAGAAAAACAAAATTCTCATACTCACTGCACCTAGATAGTTGTACTGTTATGTGTTATTTCCCTTCTGACAGCAGGAAGGGAAGACATTTTTTAGAAAGTTAATTTGAAAAGTGAGAATCTAGCATGTGTTACGGTGGCTACTGGTCCCATGTAGCTATTAGACAATGACAGAACTATGACCCAGATAAATTGAGGTGTGTGGCCAGGATAAAATACAAGGATTTCAGACAGCATAAAAGGATAAAATGTAAACTATCCATTAATGATTTCTATATTGCTTCTAGGCTAAAAAGCAGATATTTTGTTTAAATTGAGTTAAATAAAATAGATGGTTGAAATTATCTTTACTTGCTTATTTTTTTCTTTTCTAAATTTGACTACTGAACATTTTAAAGTTTATACATGTGGTTATGTTATATATTTACTGGTCAGCAGTCATAAGTAATCATTACAACCTATTTCTGTTTAACACCAATCCTTAGTATTTTCATCGACATTTTGAGAGGGAGTTGACAAATATACGGGGTAAACTAACTTATGCCTAAAGAAAACTTACAACAAATATGGGCTTAAAAATCTTGAGTATCCACAGTACTACCCACTTATGGTGGAGAGGTCTAATCTTGGCATGATTGTCAGTGTACTTTCTGGTACTTTTTCTCTGAGTGGCACAAAAAAAGATTTTCATTTCTGACTTGAAGTTGCTGAAACTTCCATTATCTTACGACTTCAAGGAAGGGAGATAAAGACATAATTCCAAAGGGGCAAAGTTCCTTCAAATGCGATGCACAGGGATACAGGGTGTCTGACAGACGCCCTCTGAAGACACAGAGAGGCATTTACAGCCCCATCCCTCATTGTTCTGTCATCTTGTGATATTTGTTTAACTTATTCAAGTTTAAACTCTTTAGATCTCCAGAAGAAGTATTAAGCTTTATCTTGAAGAGTTGTTCGGAGGATCAAGTGAGAGAATATCAACAGTGCCTCTTACATAACACCTAGAGGGTCTAATATCATGATCATGACCACTGTCATCATCACCTTAGGACTCCATTGCATGGGATCTTGTTTTCCATTCCCACAGACTCCACACCACCGTAGTTGACACTGTACAATGGGGAGAATTCTGGGATATGGTGTTCTGTTCTTGACGACTCAACTCAGACCCTTGCTGCAGGATCTTGAGAATCCCATATTCTGTCTAAGCCTCAGTTTCACTATTTGAATAACGAGATGATGGAGCAGTACTTAACAGAGGGTGGCCCTTGGGATGGGAATTTTGTATGTTCACAGGCTTTGTGGTGAAGAATGGATAGATTTCATGGCCAAATCAGTTTCAGAAACATTATTGAAATAAGTAGGGTTTTCAAAAGCATATTACTCAGGTGCTTGCAAATTTCTCAGGAACATTTGACATTATGACTTAACCAAGAATGGGAGAGAGCTGGCTACATTCTCCACATTTATTTGACTTTAAAACCTTTTTTCATTGAGCACCTGGGAACCACTTTGGAAACCACTGATGGATCCTGCCATACACATCATTTCTCCCTTCTGTGCAGGGAGAGCCAGACTGTTACCAGCTCCTACCTTCAGCAGGTTGGAGACAGCAGCCTGTTCCCATGGTGCACTGCTCCCGCAGGGAGGACACAATGAGCTCCAGCTCCTCCAGCCTGCTCAGAAGCTCTTTGACATCTGGAGCAGCAGCACAGCCACAGGCCCGGCGGGGGATGTTGATGCGGTGCGTGAAGACTATTTGATTTTCCCCATCCACTGTGTGTTCCTGGAAGCTTTCGCTGGGCTCTGATGGAGGGGCCAGGTTTTTCTCCCCACTGGCTGATTCCAGATCCACAGAACACTGTGAGCCCATGGGCAGCTTGATGTTGTACACATGGTTAAACACCACTGGCTGATTCTCCTCTGGCAGGGTGAGGTTCACCCCACTCTGTCTCTTGTGCCTGATGACTTTCTTGAGGACCCCACTTTCAGAAGGGAGGACAAGTAATGCCAGGAAGACTGCCGGCAACAGGCGAGTCAAGGCCCCCATGATGGAGGTGGGTTTGGCTAGGTGTTTCTAGGGTTCTAGGATTTCTTGCACTTGTACTAATTTGGAAATTAGAAGCACAGGGCAGGATAGAATCTAAATCAGTCGTTTTCAATCTTCTTGAAAGAACGTTTTCCTACAAGTAAATGAAAGTAAACAAACTCATTAATATCTAATGTGCATTGAATCTACTGGATATCTACAATTCCAAGTGAACTTTGGTTTTATATCATCTATGCTTGGAGCTGTCCTGATGCTCCTTGAGTATACACTGTCGTGAGTCTATAAAATAGCATGTATAGGAATTTTGCAGGCTTAAAGGGATTATTTTATTCACTATTCAATTTCTGGAAATTGAAGGAGACAACAGAGTACTGGGGAAAGTGAAGACCATTGGAATGTTTCTCCTCTCTTACTCTGGGCCCTTGGGTAATTTATGTAACTTGCCCTTTTTTCTACTTCACTTTTTTTCGTTTTTCATTTTTTTGAGACAAGGTCTTGCTATGCAGTTCAGGTTGTCTTTGAACTCATTATGAAGCCTAGGCTGGCCTCTAATGCATGTTGATTCTCTGGCCTCAGACTCTCCTGAGTGCTGGGATTATAGGCCTATGATATCATGCCCAGCCCTTATTTTACTTTATGTACAGTGAAGATCATAATGGCTAATAACAGTTGAAAGAGTGATGTACATAAGAGTATAATTTCTTCAATATTTACCAGGCAAGCCTCTGAGTGGTTTATTACAGTGACATGAAGGCTACAACCTCCTTCAGTGGTTTATAACCCCTGTCTCTTACTACTGACCTGCTGCAATGATTTAACACTGACCTTCCAAACACTATCTGACAGGTTCTTTTCTGTCAGGGGAACCTGAGGGCAAGATGAAGGACACTAGAATGTACCCTGAGCTCAGCCAAGCTTCTTTCTGGTTTTGTGACTGATGGAATAGTATTCTCTTTCTTTCTGTGCCCGTTTCCTCTCTTGATTTATATTCAAAACTTTCAAAAAGTCTAGTATTCAGAAGAGCCTGAACCAATTGTCTACATTGATCTTCACAGAAACAAAGGCCTGAGAAATGATGCCCATGGGCCTTTGATGTCTCCTCTAATCAACCAGTACTTACAGAATTCCTGTTCCTCCTGGGGCTCCCATAACAGAAGTTTTGTGGATGGTAGAAAGAGATGTAAGAACAAGTGTCTACCCTCAAGGGATTTAATAATACAGTTAGGAAGAAAATGGAATTATCCATTTAATGTGCAGGGAACAAAGAAAGAAGGAATGCAAAGGATTTATTTTGTGGGTACAGAATTTAACTGCTTACAGGGTTTGAAAGACAAAGGAGTTGTCCAAAGAATGACAGGATCTGGCTTATGAGAAAGGATGAAATTTAAATTGAGCCTTCTTCAGTAGTGAGAAAGGAAATAGCACTGAGAAAACATGTTTCCATGAAGCAGTTCTGACTGTGCTGCCTTATTCATCTGTACTGTGGCTGTTCTACCATATAGGCAATCAGGCAGCAGAGGAAAGGAGAGGAAAGGAGAATGTGTACATAAACAGGTTGAGAAATTACCAAGTGAAGATAGAAAGACAAATACAACACTGACTAACATAGCACTTTAGATACATGTGAGAGTGATCTATACATGGTATGAAGCCATTCATGAGCTTCTTCAGTTAGTAAATACACTTGAATATAGTTCAAAAAATAACTGGAGAGCCATTTGGCTTTTAGTGAGTCAGTTCACAAACTTGCATTTCCTTATGCCTATGCTATTCTTACACTTGCACATTGTAAATTAGCCATATATGTCAATTAGCTGTGGCCTTCGGATTGCTCATCCTATAAGAAGTTTTCCAACTTTTCCCCCAGGAACATCTTACCCCAGTGGTAGAATGCATTGATGACTACCTCCTTCATGACAGCAGAAAGCCTCTGAAAAACTCAGAGAGGGACCAGGGCAGGAAAAACTGAACAGAGGAACTCTTTAGTAAGCTTGAGAATGGATCTGGAGGTCGAGAAAGCACTTGCCAGGCATTTAACAAAGTATATCCTACCAACACTCCACACACACTGCTACAGACTAATTATATTCATACTGATATTTTACCAACTATTCAAGTAATGTTTTCTTAGAAGATCTACTCTGTTTTTAGGGAAAAAAAATTTTCTGAAGATACGTTCTCATTCAAACTTGTTTCCTAAGTAATTATGTGTGGATCTGTGATGTAGGTATGGCCATTGGATAAAGACTATTACAAAGAGGAGAATTAGACACTTTCTCTTCTCTCAAATTGATATAGTCCTCTTCATTTGTTTACTAGACAGACATTTTTTGTACGCTCTATTGGAAGGTCTGATTTAATTCTCATTATTCTCAGAAAGTCCTTTACTACTTTCATCCCATAAATTCTTCATTTTTTGAAGGATCATGGGGCAAGCTTCAAGTGTTTTTAAACTTTTACCTAAAACTCTTTTGTGAGACGCGCATGTGTGTGTGTGTGTGTGTGTGTGTGTGTGTGTGTGTGTGTGTGAATTGCTAAATGACTATGATTTCCATCTAAAAGGCCACTAGAATTGTTGGTCAAGGCTTCAAGGCAGTGCATTTAGGGTGGTAATGATCAGAGTGTGGGTCTGGTGAGGATTTCTCACTGTGTATTTAAGAGGTGGGCCCTGACACATGTCAAATTGAAAGAAGGACATGTCATGTTTGAGTGCTCTGCATTTCCCATTGGCTCTTGGTGCTCTGGGGGCAGGTGTAGATGATTTTGTGCTTTGGGAAGACCCATCATATCTTCTACATTCTGAAAAATGCTTAAACTTTAGCATTACACACACTTGGGTATAAATGTCACCCACTGGCTCTGTCACTACTAATACTGTCTAAATCATGACCTCATTTATAAAGTAGGGATCAGAACCATTCCATGGGGGAATTAAAGATTAGAGACTTGTACACAGAGCACTCATTACTGAGTTAGGCCCATAGTAGGCACTCATTAAACCAGAGCTGCTATTCTGTTGTACTTTTGGGAACGAATGAAATCTAGCAAGGGCCCACACCCATGTCCTCCTTTTGTTTAAACTGGAGCATGACATCCTGGTGGAATCCTATCCCAAACCCAGCAGCAACTTGGATCTAGATCAGAGGAGCTACAGAAATTACTGATGGGTGAGGAGGTAAACCTTGTGAAGATCGGTTTACTAGAACTAGAAATATTTATTCCAGAGAAGGAAAAACCAGGGAGCAAATAATAACTTTCAAGAATGCAAAATATTCTCATGCAGACAACTGGCTGGTTTATGTCTCCTTTGAGGTTGAGACCAAGAGAAAGTGACTTGAGATTGAAGTTTGGGAGATTTAAATTAGACATAAACAATCAAGGTTGGCTAGGAGGACTTTTATATTTTAAGAATGAGCAATTTATTCTACAGAGATTCTTTAAAAGCCTTGGTAGATGCTTATCTTTATAGGAAGTGATAAGTAATGAAAGGCCTGGAAAATATCTTGAAGGAGAAAGGACTGCAGACTTGTGTCTGTTTACCCTGTAGTTGAGAACAGTAAAGTTGCGGGGGGCAGGATTGCTATGTACAAATTCCAGAGAAGCAGGAGATGGCTCATCTCTCCACCCCTGCCAAAACAGAGTATTAATGTGTGCATGTGTTGGGGTCAATTAAAGAAGGTACATTTGTGCACACAGGAGAGAGATCTTTCTGGGTGAGCTGTTTGATAGGTAACATTTTGGAGCAGCACAGATTAAACTAATGGTTATTTTTAGGCACAAAAAAGACAAAGATCATTGCTAGAGAAGGGAATGAACAGTCTCTGAATTTTCCCCTCATCACAGCTGGAGAATAAACAATAAACAATTTCACTTTTAGATAATGATAACACATCCCACTGGCTATAGAGTCACATTTCAGAATTACTTGTGACTTCATTTTTAGTAACTCACAGAATATATTCCTCTCGTTGACTGAAGTATGCATGTGAAATACCCAAGGTTTGGAGGGACAATGATGATTAAAAATGCAGATGAATTTGTTTCCACATCATTTTGGCAGCACATGAGACATACCAATTTTCTTTTCTGGCTTGCAGGCAAGAGAATTTTACTGTGCCCAGTCTGTCAAGAATGGAGTTGCTTACATGGGCATTCTTAAATGTTCTTGAAATTCCTCAACCCTTGTCCTTCCCAACATCCATAAATTCCTTCTTGGAATGTGTCAGGAAGAGACAGGAGCCAGGAAACAGCCCTAAGTGTGGATTTTTTTTCCTGAGGACATCTGATTCTCACAACTCAGTGAGGTCAGCACAACCCGGGCGTAGAAGAATCAAAAAAATTTGAACTAAAAACTAAAGACTCTCCCAGCCCTGGATGCTTGGATCCCAGTGCTCAGAAGCAATTATCACTTCAGGAAGCGTGGTGCTTAGTTGGTGCCCAGTTAGGGTATTAATGGGGTCGGCAATCACTTAAAATCCAGAATCAATTAATTTAGAAATAATATATGGTAACTCCCTACAACTGACTGCATAATAGCTGTAACCTCGATGTGGATGTGTAACATTCCTTCTCTAGGCCTAAATGTTTTCATTTGTAAAACAGTAACATTAATGTTAACTCCGTAGTAAAGCTATTTCATCTGCAAGTTAGAATAAATGAGATCAAATGAGACAATGCATACAAAACAATTAGCCTAGGAAAAAGGGGATCTTAGCATCTGGTGTGCATGACTGCTTGGGTCCTTTGAAGAAAGCAGTTTAGAGAAAGGTAGTCTCTGATAAGTAAGAGAATTGTAGGAGAATTTTGGGACTTTTTCTCTTTCCAAAAAGACCACTTTTCCCCCAGAAAAAGCCCACTGTCATTGCAACGGTTTCCAGAGAGAAATTTCAGGATCAGAAGTTAGAGAATATTGGTGTTAAGTGATTTCTGAACTTCTTGGTCCTGTAAGCTTATTTTTATTTATCCACCCATTTACCCTTCTTTTGAGAGCTCATTTCTTAACTACCTACCATATACCACACCATGAAGCAGGACTGACACAACAATGAAGGTAAACATGCTCTGTATGATAACAAGGCTCACACTCTCCTCCCAAAGGAAAATGTAATTGTTTTTAAATGCATGCATTATAGA